ATGGATAGAATTTCAAGATTTGACAACATAATATGTTGTTCTACTTGACCATGTTCAATCTAGTTAAATATAGAATGATTCTCCCATTGTTAAACATTGTTACCAGATTAAAAATGCATGTAAGCATTAATCATTGGATTTTAATAAAGAATATCAAACATGACATGAATAAAGAATATCTTTTGATATTTACAAATATTATAAATTTTATAATAATTATGGCTTGTGTTTAAAATATTGTGAATTACATTCTCCTACTACTGATTTATTTTGAGAAATATTTTAGATACTAACAGATTTAGAGTTTAATCAAAGGCTCTTGAATATTGAGTTATCAAAATTAAAGGATTAGTTCCTTTTATTTATGTTTGTTAAGCATAATCGATTTGCCTTGATATATATATATTTAGGGTTTTAGTGCTACTAATTCCATCATTTAACAGAATAAATAACACTGGAAAAAGGGAAATAAATTGTTGAATCTTGCGTTGATTCTAACTTTGAAAAGGAAATAAATTGTTGAATTTATTTTTATATGAATCTTATATGATTACAATTTGTAAAAGTAAATAAAACATCAAATTATTTTCTTGGAAATCTAGAACGATTCCACTTTGTGGAAGGAAATAAATTCTTAAATTTATTTTCATAGAATCTAGTATGAATCTATTTTGTAAAAGAAATTAAATCTTTGAATTTATTTCTTGAGAATCAAGTATGATTCTTTCTTATAAAAAAGAAATAAATCGTTGAAATTTATTATTTGGAAGTCTCAAATCAAAACTTGAAAAACCTATGGTTTTCTAAGTTGTAATCACATTCTCAAAGCCTTATCTGATGCAAGTTATGAAGTGTATAGTGTTTAAAATTGCTAAAGAATTATGAATGATATTGAACTATAAATATGAAACGGAAGATACTAGCACTAAGGTAGTGACCTAATTATCAAAGTCATAATAATGGCATAGACGAGAGGAAATAAGTATTTTATTACCTTTAGTGATGATAACAAAAGTATTGTTATGTGTATTTGTTAAAAGAACAAAAGTGAAGTTATAGAGAAATTTGTTTTCTATAAACAAGAAGTTGAAAACCAACTTAATAAAGATTAAGTTGGTAAGAAGTGATGTTGAATCGTGGTTTTGAATATGCCAAACCATTTGGTGAAGCTTGTTCACAATATGGTATTATTCGTGAAGTAACACCACCATATTCACCTTAATCATATGGAGTAACCAAGTGAAAAAATAGAGATATAAAAGAAATGATGAATATCTTGTTAGGTAGTTCTAGGTTATCACAGAACATGTGGGGGAAGATGTCCTTTTAGCTAATTTCCTTTTAAATAAGGTACCCTGGAAGGAAAATGATAGAACACCATACGAAAATTATAGGAAGCTTGGAAACCTTCCTATGAACATTTGAAAATGTGGATGTGTCCTGCCATTATAATGGCTCCATTACCAAAGTAAATGAAAGTTGGTCCTAAAACTGTGGATTGCATTTTCATTAGCTATGCAAAACATAGCAATGTGTATCGGTTTATTGTGTATGAATAAAAAAAATCCTAAAATTCACAGGAACACAATAATGTAATCAAAGAATGCATCATTCTTTGAAAATATTTTCCCTTATAAATCTAAGGAGGTTGATCAAAGTTTAATAAAACGAACTATAGAGACTAACAATGAAGATAGTCTAGATTATCAACAAGAGGCTGAAACTGAAATAGAGCCAAGGAGTAAACAAGCAATGGTGGAAAATCCTTTGGACCAGACTTCCTAATATTTATGTTGGAGGTTGAACCTCAAACGTATAGTGATGTTATACGATCCTCTTAAGGCAAGTTATGGAAGAAAGGTTAAGAGCAAAATAGATTCCATCATGTAGAACTATACGTGGAAATTAGTGGATCTCCTCCGAGGATTAACCCACTAAATTATATATCGATTTTTAAACAGAAAATGAAAACAAATGGAACAATTGATAAGTACAAGGCTAGGTTGTTAATAAAAGGATATCGAGAAAATGAATGCCTAGAATACTTTGATACATACTCTCGTACATCAAGAATAACATCCATAAGAATAATACTTGCAATTGTCGCTTTGCAAAACGTAGAAGTACATCAAATGGATATTAAAATAGCTTTCCTAAAGGGGACCTTAACGAAGAAATATACATGGAGCAACCTGAGGGTCATGTAGTTTTAGGTCAAGAAAGGAAAATCTGTAGGTTGACGAAGTTTTTGTATAGACTTAAACAAGAACCAAAACAATGGCATGAAAAGTTTGATAGTGTCATAATGACAAATGGCTTCAAGATGAATGAGTGTGACAAGTGTGTATATATCAAAACTACAAACATTGGATATGTTATTGTATGCTTGTATATTAATGACATACTCATTGTTAGAAGTAACAATGAAATGGTAAAGTGTACCAAAGACATGTTAAATTCAAGATTTGACATGAAAGACATGGGATTGGCTGATACGATTTTTGGCATCCAAATTAAAAGGTCATCTAAAGGCCTAATACTAACTCGGTCACACTATGTGAACAAGATTCTTGATAAATTTAATAAGGATGATTCTATATAGTCATAACTCCAATAGACTCTTGTTCACATTTATCTAAAAAACAATGTGAAATTGTTCACCAAGTGGAATATGCAAGGGTCATAAGCAGCCTAATGTATCTCATGAGTTGTACGAGACCAGACATCACTTTTACCATGAGCAATTCAAGTAGATTCATGAGCAATCCAAGTGAAAAACATTGAAATGCAATAACAAGGATACTAAGATATCTTAGATATACTCAGGATTATCGTTTGCATTATTCCAGAGATCTTGTTATATAAGATACTTTGTTACTAGTTGGATATCAAATATTCAAGATATCGAAAATGGATATGTATTCACTTTAGGAGGAGGAGTTGTGTCTTGGAAATCCTCAAGATAAACGTATAACTAGATCGAAAATGGAATCTAAGTTTGTAGCTCTAGATAAATCTGGAGAAAAGCATAATGACTTTGGAACTTTCTTGAGGATATTCTAGAATGGCCAAAACTTGTGCCCACAATATGTATATACTGTGACAGCCAACCAACAATTGCTAGAGCACAGAATTTCATGTGTAATGGTAAATCGAGACGGTTGTATCGCTGACACAATACCATTAAACAATTTATCTCAAATGAAGTTATCTCTATTGATTTTGTAAGATCAAATGATAACATTCAGGATCCGCTAACTATATAGTTAAATCGAGATCAAGTTGAGAAAACATCTAAAGGAATGAGACTAAAGCCCATGAAGTTTAAAGGTTTTATGTGAGGGAAAACCCTACCTTGTTAACTAGAGATTCCAAGATCTAGGTTCGAAGGGATAACCTAATTACATAAATCGTGTATAGTCACTGTGGTGGTTTCTTATGCTAAGTTCGTTCTTATATGTAATTAATATTTTATTTTAAATGATTTAATTTTTAAATTTTTAGCTAATTTATAATTATACTTTAGTCCTTTAAAATTTTAAATTTTTATAAATTAAACTAACGGTGCTTAACGATTCTTGTCGTTAGTGGTGCTCAACGGTGCTCGTTAAGCATGACAGACTCATCCTAACTTTAAAAAAAGGTATCAATATTTTTATATAGTTATTAATACATTTAAACTAGTATAAGTACTCGAATAAATTCCTTCAAAAAAATCAAATACCAAACCTCAAAAAGATATTGATACAAATAAAGGTATCGATAGCTTAGGGATCAATACATTTGAATTTTTATTCAATTTTCAAAACACTGAAACTTAAAACAGTACTTGCACCAAATAAAATATTAATATATATATTTTTTGATAGATTATAAATCTAATCCTATCCGAAGGAGAGGAAAAAGAAGACTCTATGAGAAGGAAGGAAGGTGCTCTGGTCAATCTAGAACCCCAAAACCTAAGAGAATATGAGAAAACAAAGATTTGATCACCCAACCAAATATGTTTGCTTTCAAAGGTATCGATTTTTTTTGTATAACTATCGGTATCCAATATATTAATCGACTAATCTGGATCGGGTATTGCAGAGGCGAGGGTGACCCTCCCAACCCAGTTTACTCCATTCGTAAACTCTAAGATTTTTGAATCCTTGGTCTTGCTTATAAAATCTAGTGTCACATCTCACTAAATCAACTGATTGTTATTAAAACTATGAATATTTAAATCAAGATATCAATAAAATATTTTATAAAATTACCTTGTCAATTTAAAACTTAGATTTTTATTCAAAAAATAATCATCTGTTGTATAAGAATCTTAAAGTTTAACTTAGCACTGAAGGACATGGATTTGAATCTATAATATGATAAAAATATATGACACGTGTTGCTAACGGAAAGAAAAATGGAATGTAACGTGTCTATGATAAAAATATATGACACGTGTTGCTAACGGAAAGAAAAATGGAATGTAACGTGTCCATTTTGCAAGTTTTGAATGAATACCCATTAATAAAAATAATAATAATGAATACCCAAATGATTATATATATATATATATATAAAATAGATATATATATATATATATATATATAGATATATATATAATTAGGTGACCAACGGAGTGATCTAACCAAATAATTATACAATTAAAATACTTCATGTATTATTTTAAGGATATAATATCAAAATTAACCCACATTTTGGCCCTTAATTATTTTTCTAAAACATCCAAAATTCTCTTTATAAATATAAACTGTTAATTAACAAACGATTAACACTCTAAAATATCAATCTCTAAAATAAAACGTTAAAGGTCAAATATTAAAAAAAAATACGGTCAAATTTACTATTTCAATCAAACGTTAGACTTCTTTGTCCTAAAATAAAATTCTATCAAAATGCTTAAAAAAAAAGGTTAGAATGACCAATTTAATAAATATTGGGGACTAATCTTAACATCATGCCTATTTTAAAACACTTCTATTAACCAAACAACAGAAATATTTAACCCAAAATCCAATATTTTAAAACGGAGTAACATCATATCCGGTTATATAAACAACAAAATGTTTTGATGGTAAATAACTAATGCAAAACAAAATAGCAGAAACAAAATTGGAACCATTCTCTCTGGTGTTTAGTCTTGAATTCAGCCCTCAAATCTAATGCTCCTACTGATTCCAACATTGATTCCGGAGGTTTCTCCGCCGTACTGACCGGCCGGTTTTCTAATATCCCGCACCTGCCCTTTCCTTTGTTTCTCCCGTTTCTTGCTTTGCAACTGTAAAACCAACAAACAAATAAATCAATCCACAACTTATGTATTATCCAAAGGAAACATAATTTTCAACCCGAACACATACCCTGTACTTCTTCCTTGGGTTTTTGGTGTTCTTATTCCGTTGTCGAGTCAAACCTCTATTCTTCTCTATCTGTTGTCATTCGACAGATTTTTTTTTTTTGGTTAGGAATAGGAAGCAGTGAAACGCAATAATTGAGCCGTAGAAGAGAATATGGCAAGAACCTGATGAGTAATCTGTCGTTTTCCATCAACAATTTCAGGCAACGAGGGCGGTGCTGAGGTCCTGCAAAAGAAACACACTTCGAAATCATTTTAAATCCAAATTTTATCCAACTAAGACAGCTAAAAGATTTCATTTTGGTTGATAAATCAGAAATTATAGACAAGCATGACCATATCAATGGAATGGTGCTTAACAATACTATTGAATGTTAGAAATCACTTACCTGCATCCCCAATAGGGTGTGCAAATTCGGATATCGGATCCGATAACAAAATTTGGATATCCAAAATTTTAGGTACCTAAAATAGGGATATCGGATCCGATCCCAAAATTTGGATATCCGAAATTTCGGATACCTAAAATAGTGATATGTATATGATCCGAAAAAAAATATCCAAATTTTTGGATATCAAAATTTTCGAACCGGATATCTGGGATCGGATATCCAGATATTAGGATCCAAATATAAAATTTAATTTGACAAATTAATTTTAAAATTTTATATTTTCTGATCCATATCCGATCCGATTATCCAATTTTTTTCAGATATTCGATATGAATTCCACGAAAATCAAAAACAGATCGGATATCCAAATTTTCGGATCTTTTTGCAGACTCCTATCTTACAGTAGGTAATAATTAAATGCAGTGCATAAACATACTTTGTATATATCTCGGCCTTTGCAGCAAGTTTTGCTGCCCTTTGTTGCTTCACTTGTTTGTAAAATTCGTCTTCTGAATCCTCCGAGTGTCCCGTATCACCATTCTCCTCCTCAGATATAGCTTCATTACCTCCATCAAGTTCCAACATGTCATATTCACCTCCATGGTCATCCTCAGATTTAACTGTTGCTCCTGCCAATACTCTGAGCTCGTGCTTCCTCCGCCTTTCTCCAATATCATCTCTCTTTGGTAAATCATCATCCCCGGATATAACCTTGTCAACACGGTAAAAGAGGAGTCAAGAAAAAATTCTACAAACCAGAGTACACATGAATCATGATGCAAAGTTTAACACGCAAATAACAAAGTTACCACATTTGGATTCTAAAACCAAGTTGTAACGGAAAAACTAAAAGGAAAAGGTCATAAAAGTCTGAACTGCACAATCCTGTTATTTTTACTTCCCTTTTAACTAAGGTGCATAAATAGAGCTAGGTTACGCGTTTGAATTTCCATCATCATTCATCAATTCCTTTGCATTTCATTGGTTGGTCTAGCAAGTGTTGCCCAAAATCAGGACAAGAAAAGCAGATAAACATAGAGAGAAAATTTTGTGCTGTTTAGCGAAAGAAAACAGAAAGGGAAATGGCATACTCATATGATCTAACAAGATGAAGAATGCCGCTGGTACAGGAAGGAAGCCTAAAACTGTAAAACTTTCAGCTTCTTCATAAGAGAAACTATGAAGGTCTTTGAAATTGGTACTGACTTGAGAAAGCAAAAGATGAAGCAGATTAACTGGATAGCCAGAATCTAAGTTCAAAACCCGATCCAGGTCAAATTGAATCAAACTAACAAATTACATGAAAGGTGAATTGACCTGCCGAATTGCTACCACTAACAGATACACTCTCAACTCGAAAGGCTGGCACTAATTGTAACATATTGTTTTCAGTAGGTAGAAATGACCATCCATCTCAGTTGGTAGAGCACAAGGCTGTTATCCTTGAGGTCATGGGATCGAGTCCCACGGAGGGCATTTCATAATTCGGAGGTCTCGTACGGAAGCTGCTCTCAATCTGGCGTTAGGGGCAGCCTACTATCCTACCTCCCCTTACCCCATTACATATGGGAATAAGGATAAGCTAATTTGTTTTCAGTAGGTAGCAAACTAGCACTAAAAGTTTTTAACTTTGTCTCATATTGAGGTCAGCAATGCTCGTTCAATGCACTTGCAATTTCCAAGTACATTGAGAAAGCTCGTCATAGACAGATTCCTACTAAATCTTAATGTTTTACTGGAGGTATAAAAGCAGGAAATCTCGTTGAGATTTATACCTTCGATTTGATCTGTTTAGCCGTAATAAGCTTGGAAATATTAGAATGCTTTGAGCTTGCATGCCTGTTACTTAATCCATGGCACTTCCTTCAACATCCACAGCATCATCAGCAAAATCTTCATATGATTCAAGCTGTCTGTCAAGTCCAACTTGAATGAATTAGTACTCAGTGCAATGAGAAGGGTAACTAAATTTACAAAACAAGAGGAAAAGCAGCAATACCCATTCACTGGTTTCCTATGCTTCTTGGTTTTATCAGGCTTTCGGGTGTTGGAACCAAGGATTCCCTTCTGTTTCAATTTTTCCTCCAGAGCTGCTCTTACTTTTAGCATTTCCCTGCTTTGTAATCCAACTTGGTTGTTCTGCGTTTAATTTGAAGAATCTTGAGTAAGATAGTTTGCTACCGGTTACACAACAGAGACAAAGAAACAGAAGGACATATGAAGCCTTCTCAAAAGAAGGGTGATATGCGTAAGGCATAAAAAGGGAGTGAAAATTTAGCAGCAGTAGCAGGCACATCTCACCTCACGATTAAGTTTCATCACCTTATTATCAGGGTTACTTGCAATCTGATGCATGAAATAAGAGATCAAATGACAAGAAAAAAAATCAAGAACCAAAATGGAAATTTACTGAAAGGAGCATCAATGCTAACTTTGACTACCTCGGGCATTTGTACATCCGTTACTGATGATGGACCATTATCCTTTGCACCAGAGTCAGATACCAGTTCAGCACTCTCTTTAACCAAGTTTTGTCCCATTTCAGCCCCTTTATTCTTCAGAATCTCCTCCCACTCAAAGGGAAGGTTCCCATCAAGTTGTTTCACCTGTTAAAAGGAGCAAGCATCAGAAAGAAGAATACAGTAACTCTAGTAGCAAAGCAGCAGCCTTATTCTCACATCAACAGTCTATAATTCTCTATGAATAAAAGAGAGAAAAAATAAAATAAAGCGCAAAGGTTGTATTGTTAAGCATGATGGGTTAAGTACAGTGAAATGTGCACATAACTGCCTATGAGGTATAGCCAACCACTATTGACCACCTTCCCTGCAGATCATGCATGTTATCTGTTGTGTAAACTGTAAAGCATAGAAATAAATTCATAAATCTAAAAACCAATATTCCATTTCAAGGATAATGACCTTATCAAGTAAGCCTTGGATCTCCACAATACAGCCTAAGACAGGATGATCACGAACAGGCTGCCCTTCAGACTTGAGAAGAAGATAAAAGGTTATTTGCTGACAATATGCCAGCAAAAGAATCTGTTTCACCTCCAAATAGCGCATCCCACCTTCCAAAAGGATATCCCCTTCTTTAGCCTTCAAAACACATAAAATCCTTAAACATGTCATCAAAACACAGAAAATATGAGAAACCTGATGTTATATCCAATGTCTGAAATCAACTTTTGAAGTAGGGGTGAGTGTTCAATCGAGTTAAGTCGAGTCAAAAAATTTCGAGTTATTCGGGTTGATGAATCCTATTTTACAACTCAAAGTTGACTTGAAATTTTTTCGAGTCGAATTTTCGAGTTTTTGTTTAAATTTAATTGTAAATATTTATAATATTATGATATTATTTTATGTCAATTTAAATGTTTTTTATAATCATATACAATACATATGTTTTCTTCATATTTTTTTCATATGTGATACACATATATCATACAGAGTTGAGGGACTCTACTCAAACTTGAAAATCAATCCACTAATTATTTGAGTTACTAGAGAAATATTTTCCAACTTGATTTGAACCAAAACTTTTTTTGAGCCAAGTTTATGAAGTTACAAATCAAAGTTAATTGTAGTCGAGTTTCCTCGAGTCGATTCGAAAAAATTAAGTTTTTTTGAGACGTGTTTTTCTCACCCCTATTTTGAAGTAACTAAAATTATCCTAGACACCCCGTAATGGAGCTTTTCAACTCCACAAACATATTAGACCTATTAATGTTAATTTACGGAATGTAATAAATTAACAAGTTATTAAGAGGAAATATCAAAACCATCAAACCTTTGTGGAGTTTAAAAACTTTATTTCCAAATTACCCACCAAAAAAATAAAATATAAAAAACCCAGGTAATCCTCTCAAACTACGTGATTGAAGTTTACCAGAGAACCTAGACAGACCCAACAGGCGTACATCAAACAGCCAAATCAGAATTGGCAAATAAAGTATAATATTACTATTACCCTTCAATTTAAAAATAAAAATAACAAATGCGAAGACCACCTTCCTTAAAAGTGGATTAACTTTGCTTTCAAGCTCTTCAAGTGAAGCATTCAGCTCTGACAATAAGCCAATTAATTCAGGTGCAGAACTGAGGAGAAAAATATAAATTTGTAAGCCATGGGGTAAGAGTAAGACTAAGAAAATTTTGGCAACCAGCACTCGAACCCATCAGAAAATAAAAAACGGTAAATATCTGATGCATGTAGTACGATAACCAGGAATAATTCTCTAGTTAGTATATTGGATAAGGACTCCACTAAACAGAAAAAAATGATTAATACATATAGTTTGACAAAAGTAGACTAAAACTTAAAAAAAAAGGTCCAAGATCCAAACTATACAAATACAATGCACATGATTTATCTTATAAACTCATTATTAAGTGGCGGCAGAAAGAGGCGGAGACCTTCATTAACCAATTATGTTATCAAAGAGACAATGCATTCATAAAGAACCATTAATAAAGTGAAGAACTGCACAGCCAGAAGACTGATAAACACCAAATATGAACAAGGATCCAATAACAAAAATAAGTATAGAAAATCAGTTATGCTTAAAAACACAATGCTTCCAGATGTTGATGTAGGATAGTGTGTACATATAAGTTATAAAACATAAAAACAATAACAGCCAAACCAACGCTAAATGAAATGATAGAAAATGGAACTAACAGAAGACGAAAACCATACCTGTGTACCACATCCATCTGCTCTTCCTTTGATAAAGCACTCGAATCTTTCTTGACATTCTCAAATGTAGTGAGGTCATCCATAGTTTCTTCACGTTCCATGGATAATTTTCCATCTTTTCCCTTCAATGACATTTCCTGTACAGGAAACATGAATTATTTAAAATCCATATCCCTTCCTCGAGCAAATAATGTTTTCGATGTCAAATTAACAGGGTAGCAAGCATGCCTCACCTCTAAGGTTAACTCTCGATTAGTTTCATCTTCGCTGGCATCGTCAAGGCCAAAGTCTTCAATTGATAATTTTTTTGCTCTTTCCTTTTGTATTTCTTTCACCTCTTCCTCCTCTTCCCTGGGAGCCTCATCATTACTTGAGTGCAACTTCAAAAGTACATCAAAAAGTAAATGAAAATATTTCATCTATTTCAAATGAATATATAAAAGCATCTTCAAATGAATGCTACTCGGTGGGGGATAAGAATGCAGTCAAGTCAACAATATAGAAGAAACCAGAAACAGTTCAAATTCTCACCTCAAAATCACGATTATCACCACCATAGTATCTGCTCTTTATATCACCCCATGGAGCCCCTTCTTCTTTCTCATCCTCATCTTCTTCATCGTGCATTTCTTCGTCAACTCCTCCAAACTTTGCTCTCAACAGTTTATGTTGCCTAGCAACTGCAAATCACGAGCAGTAATTAATTGATAGAAATGTAACAATAAGTAAACGCAAACTACAAAACATTGCAAAGGATGCATCACAAAATAAAGTAGACATATCTACATTCAAAACCACATGGAACAGAGAAAAAGGAGTTTTTTATGTGTGCCTGTGTTGGGGGTTTGTAACTAAGCCAGTTTCTCCACAAAGCAGAATAAGTTTTGGAACAATAGCAAGTAAACTACAATGAAAGCAAGAGATAGACAGACAGAGGTCAATAGTACTGCAGAAACATTAGGCACCAGTATCTTAAACCAAGAGTGAAGTATCTAAACCAAAAAAAATACAGAAAACAAGCAAATATATTAATATACACATTAACAAATTTATTAAATTATCTCATAGTTCATGTGCAAAGGAAAGGAAAAGATTCTACTATCTTAACAACTTAATTTATATAAAACCCAAACCGTATCAGCAAATTCAACTAAAATAGACATATCATTTTGCGTTCTTGTAATTGAAGTTTTATTCCAAGCAGCCACTATGATACATTAAAGAAATGCAACAAACTGAAACATCTTCTAAACTCTCTTACTTTTTGCTGCAAACTTCGAAACTTGGGTGTCATCGAGATCATCATCATCGTCATCTCCCGCATCGTTATCATCATCAATATCCTAGATGTGGAGAGACAAAGATCCAATAAAATGATAAACACGTAATACAAAATTGATGTACCACCAGCAGTCTTGATACTATGGCCGATAGCAGCTGTAATACAATTAAGTTTGCCACTTTTCACCAAGTCATTCATAAGGTTTCTTCCAAATATACGAGTAAATTAAAATTATTAAAATACTGCTTCAATTTATTAAATAGACACTAAAAGCGTAGACGGTAAACCTAAAGCAATATTTTTAGTTGAAATAAAACGTTTTAACGCTCAAAGTTTGAGTATGAAAAGAAAAAAAAAGGAGAAACAAGAACCTGAAGATCAAAAATGGGCTGTTCATCGTCTTCATCTGTATCTTCAATATCCCCATTCATATCCAACGGAACAACATCCCTTTGCTTATGAACTGCAAAAAGGAGATTAAATAAACGATTAAAACAAAATATTAGAGAAGAAAATGAGCATAAAAATAAATATACTTACAAACATCAATTTCGTCATCGACGTTCTCGGGGTCGTTGCCTCGTAGTCTTCTCTTAGGGTTTCTCTTGTCTTTCTTGGAGCTGTTCCCTCTCTTTCCCATTCCTAGGAAGGTAATTTCTTGAATTCAGATCTCAATTACAAAATCAACCTAATAGAAACTCGAGAGAATCAGCTAATCGGGGGTACTGGGATTAGGGTTTATGCTTTTCAATTGCAACAATAATAACTCGAGGGTTTATGCTTGAGACTTGAGAGTTGCTAGTGGTTGTATGGGACATTAAAATGGAACAAGCCCAATTCAATCTTTGAATTTTGTGAATGGCCCAACACCAATGGGTTAATTTGAAAACATATTCTAAACATTTTTCAGTCCACCTAAACTATAATTTCATAGACCCAACTGTAATCTTTCTCGCTTTAGCATATCAGGAGACGATAAATTAATTTCTCAATTGAAAATTGAGGGAAAATTCCAATAAGACATAAACTCTCTTCTCATAAAATTTATATTTTCTTTAAAAAAAATTCAAAACAAACCAGATATAAATATGATAGGCTTTTCTGGCCGGAGCAGAAACTTCAAAACTTTTCTTCAATTTAAAGAGGTAAGGAAAACAATTTTAGTAGACTATATGTCCTTAAGCGTGCTCAACCAATATATTGTATCAATAATGTTCTTTCTACACCTAAACTACATCGGGAATTCTTGACGCAAATCAATTTAAAAGCTTAAATTACTCTGTTAAAAAACTCTTATTTATTTGAAGAATATGTTCAAAAGATTGACCAGTAAATAAGGAAAAGATTGTGATATAGTAATGTTTCATGCACATTCTATCATGAAAAGAAGAAAAAAGATTGGAGAATTTTATAATTTTGTTGAATAACGTCATTAAAAAAAACCCATCCATTACAATCATTGCTATATATAACTAAACTCGTAATAATTTTATGTTACTTTGTGCATGAAATACTCTTTTGTCTTCATCTGCAATAACCTTCCTCCCGTGGAGTACTGCTGAACAAAAATCTGATTGAATATAATACTTTATCCTCTCTCGATGGACTGCTTGGAATCTTCGAATGAAGCAAGTGACGCCTCGGCCACCCCCAACGTCTCTTTGGTGGCTTCAGAGGCTACTAAGAAAGTTCGCTTTAAAGAACCGGAAAGCACCCCTATGCAAGATAGAGTGATGAAACTATGGAGCAATCTCACCCTACGCCATCCTATGTGGCGATATTGTCTGGATAGGGCCAGGATGAAGCAAAATTAGTCCGAACACAAGGTGGTATGGAGGAGGAAATTGACATTTTCTTCGACGATATTATCACCGATACTCTTTACGGACTGCCTGCCATCTAATTTTCAGACCGTGCGTATAAGCTCAAGGAATCAACCATGGTTAGAACGGTTATTCTTAAGCTGCTGGGAAGGAATATCAGCCTCAACGCTCTTAATAACAGAGCCTATGCGTTATGGTAGCCCTCCCAACCGTTCACTCTTATGGATATAGAGAATGGGTACTTTTTGGCTCGATTCGAAAACAACGAAGACTATACCAAAGTGCTTGTCGAAGGACCATGGATTATCTATGGTCAGTACTTAACGGTCGTGGACTGGACACGATTTTCGGGACTTCTAGAATACTTGTACAACAAGAAGATCTTAACTAGTACAGGAGGTCTCATAGGGAAGGTAGCTAAGCTAGACTTCCACCAATGAATTAACAACAGGCATCGTTTTGCTAGAGTGGTTGTTTGCATAGATCTTATGCGGCCACTAATCTTTAAGGTGGTTGTCGGAAATAAAATTCAAACGGTCGAGTACGAAAACCTTCCTCTCATATGTTTCAACTGTGGAAGATTCGGACATACGAAGGAAGCTTGCAATGTCAAAAACTAGCAGCTCGGACAACCAAACATTCATGTCCGAATACATCCGTCACCCAAACAGACAACCAGGATACAGTCGCTGAAAAATCGGTAAGTGAAAGCTCGGACAATGTCGCGTCAGCCGACTCTGCAATGTATGGGTCGTGGATGACGGTTGAGCGAAGACAGCAGAAATAACCCATCTGAACGGCGAAGAAACCAAATCAAACTAAAATTGGCAAGGATTCTGGCTCCCGATTTGTTGCTTTATCTATGGATGATCAAAATCAGGGAAAATCTCACAACCAAATCAGAGAGAGAAGCAACAAATCAAATTACCACAATTAGAGCGCCTCAAATTAACGCGGAAAATGGGAATATTACTGTCACCAAATCCAAGCAGATCCCTGCAACGGCTAGTGTGGAGCACATTGCACGTGAAACTAATAAAACTGGCAACCAAGGCTAAGGAACCAAAATAAGAGGAAAAACAATAATTGAAGCACGACAGGTGGCAGCCCCTTCCAAAGATCTGGGCCCCACAGACCATCACAACGTGTCCAAGGTAAGTGGACTTTGACCATGCAGGATGTTCACGTGGAGAATACCAACCAAGCTTGTTCTTCCATGTAAAACAATTATCCTCAAGCAGCTGGGTGGTCAATCTTAATGGTGACAAATTCATGTCCAGCACTAATCCTATCTTCGACAATTCCCTCGGGCTTGAGGTCCAAACGACAAGGACTTCTCTAGACCCCACGATGCATGCAGCTATTTCTTTTAAAGAAAGGTTAAACTTGGCTGCTCCTATGAACCCAGTGCAATAGACGTTTGACAGCCACAAAGGAGAGAGGGTGTAATACACCAAATTGTTGTTAGTGACCAAAATATAAGTTTTAAAAGTTTAAAGGCCAAAGTATAAAATTGAGAAAAGTTTAGGGACCTAAGTGATAATTTTTCCAAAATAATTTTTATTTCATAAATAGATAATTTACTCTTGATAGTGGAGTTTTATTGGAATCATATTATTGATCCAAAATTTATGTTGAAAACTAGAAAGGGTTAAAGTCCGGTAAGAAATCAGTAAATTAGATCGAATAATATTTTCGAGAAAAATTGAATGATGATAAATTAGGCTTAAAAAAATATTATTTTCACATGTTAAAATGATGGAAAATAGTATGGACCATTAGATTTGAAGATTTATTTCTTTGTTTAATTTGGATCATTGAATTAAAGTGGTAAGATTGTGATTTTTAGAAAGTTGGTTGGTAAAATTGGAAAAGGGTAAAATAATTTGTTCATCTTTGACTTTTGAAATATGATAAGGTTGATGTAGCTTGGTTTTATGGTAATTATCAAGTTTCATTAATGGCAAAATTGACATTTCTCATTAAATGAATATTTTATTCATTTAAGCTTAAATAAAAGTTAAATTAACATGAAATTATAAGAAACTTAGGCCATTCTTCAGCTCCATTTTGTGCTCCCCATAAACAAGGTAAGAGAAATTTTATTTTTCATTTTTAAGCAATTTCTTTTGGTTTTTGGATTGTTCCGTGAAATAGAAAATTGTTCTACGCAAAAAACGCTATCATTTGGTACCAATATTGCTTGATAATCTTGCTTGTGTTCAAATATCCCAAATTATAAGGTTCATTTTCATATTAGGGTTTATGAAATTGATGAAAGATTTTGATGTTTTTGAGGTTGTAGAATCATATACAAGCATGATTGTTGATTAAAATCACTTGTACATAGCTAAATAAGCCTATGTTGAAATCGAACAAACCCTAGCTTTTTAGGGGAAAGATGTATTTTGATGAAATTAAGTTAGGGGTTTGATTCTAGAGGTCTTGAAATATTGAATAGAGGTTGGTTTCATACTTGAATCAAGTGAAAATTATGAGAAATATACCCCTCAAGTATTCAGCCATGAGCAAATAAGTTGGGAAAAATTATGGAAAAATTCTCATGTATTATAAATGATATTTTGAAGGTTCTACAAGCTTAGAAAATTTTTGGGTTATTTTGTAATTTTTCAAAAGTTGAGGGACCTACTTGGCAATTTTGGAAAGTTATGGGTTGATTGTGTAATTACTCAATAATTGATGTAAATTACTGTAAATTAATGTTTGAGGGCTGAAATTGAATTTAGAATGTGAAATTAAGCCATTTTGGAAAGTTAACAAAGTTTAAGTACGAAATGGTGAATAATGAGAAAGTTAGTGGCTTAAGTTGTAATTATGATATTATTGAGGTATTGAGATGGAAATTAAATGTTGGGATTTTATTGGGCTTAATTGAGCTTCGATTGAACAATTTATGACAATGACCCATTATGAATAAAAATGAAAAATTAAGATGAATTTTAGAAGAATTCGAAAATAATAGTACTTTTCGAGTATTATATTTAAGTATGAAATGTTAGTAAGATTATATTGTATAGGCTTTGTATGGATGCTCATGTAGATCATGATCGAACTCGTGATACGAACAAAGTGAAAGGCAAGGAAAAAGTTCAAGAATAATCTGATTTCGATAGTAAGGCATACCAGGTGAGTACATTTATTATGTTCTTATATGATATGAGGTCGACTTGCGATGAGTCAGTCTCGAATGTTTTTATAAAAGCATGATTTACTGTATTTTGAAATATTTTCATAAAGTTTATGAAAATGATTTTACGAATAATTTTAGGGTATGAACTGCCCTAAAACAAATTATGTATTTCATAAAAATTATTATTTATTGATGGGTTGGAATAAATGTTTAGCATGCGCTTTGGATTTAAAGCCTATTGTATGCACATTGAGAGTCATAGGTGCAATAATAATACCATAAATAAGGTGTTATTGTAGTAGTACTTTGTGTATTGTAACACTATGTATGTAATTGGCATACTTGGTGTGAGATGGATATCTATCGATTTTTTTAGAAAATGCATTATTGCATTTTCGTAAGAGTACTTTGTGTACTTGGAGTATTATTTTGTGTACTATGTCACTTTGTGTGCAAGTATAGTAGTCATACGTGATTATTATTACGAAAAGGGGTTAGAATTATATTATTGTGTACCTTGCATTCTCATTTGTCATACATTGGGTTGTGAATGGATACTTTTGGAATATACTAATTTATAAGTATGCTAGACATACGAAATGCCGTTTCGTAGGTTATTTGATGGAAAATTTGCCTATCAAGTTAGCTTTGTACGTTAATATATTTAATACGATTAACTCATATTTTGATCTTTTATGAAATACTTATGTTTTAATATGCCTCATTTATTATATTATGCCTCACTAAGTGAATACTTAGCGTATGATGTTTTTCACGAGTAGGTGATAGTGT